AAAAAAAACCCACAACACCTGTTTGTTTTAATTAGGCAAAAGTATAGGCAGGCTTCTCACACGAACTCTTAAGTGCAATCTGGAAGATTAAACCCATCATCACATTTCAAAGACCCTATTCCACAAGCACTTCCTATTTTGTGGACTGGAGTTCCTCCAGGAACATCCAGCAAGCATCCACCGTTCATCCGGAATATTCCATCCTTTATTCACCAAATCTCTTTTGAGTGCCTTATATTCTAGGCACTGTGCTGGGCAGACAAAGTACAACAGTGAATAAGAAAGCCCACCCACATGGAACAGGTCAGAAGAGCTGACAGATGGAGGGTACCCCCTTCCCAAGGTGAAGGGTTGGCGTAGGATTTAATAGGATGCCAGGTGGTGGTGCCTTGGACCACACTTGGGCTGACCCTTGTTATTCACCTGAATTACAGATGTAGCTGAGCATCCTTTAACCGGGGAAACCTACATCAGAGAGACAACGCGGAGGGAGAAGCCGGTGAATGGAGAAAAGGGAAGTCTTCCTTTAGAAATAACTCGTGAACCGAGCCGCGAAGCTGGCAGGGAAGAGCAGGGAGCGGAAATTACAGGCGGATGCAATGCAACACAATGTCCCAACCACCATCGCAGCTAGAAACAGACAACCCGGTTGGGGCGGGGAGGTTGTGCAGGGATTTTGATGGAAGACCGAGAAACCCTTGGAAAAGCTCTGCACTATCTGCGAGGACTGAGGCCGCACCCAGCAACTGCACACCCACCGCCCTGGCCACAGTAGGAAGAAGGGACCACATGGCCAGAGCCATCAGTGACTTAAGGACTGAGGGTGGCGGTGCACGACGCGACTGTCAAGGGCCACAGAGGAGTAGACAGCGAGGGAGGAAAGCACACAGGAAAACTAAGATATGGTCAACAGGTCAAATGTTTTTGGAGGCGTCAAGTGACACAAGGACACTAAGTGACAGTCGGGTCGAGCAGTAAGGAAATCACCGTTTGGGGCAGGGGCGGCCTCAGAGCTCAGAGGTGCGGCCGAGGCGAAGCTGAGCCTCACTCGATAGGGAGGTGAGAGCCCACTAGGACGCAGGTGGGGCCACGCCTAGGCTTCACTTCCCCTCTGCCCTTTTAGCAGGTGAGGGTCAAGGACAGAGGGAGCGTTGGGAGGCGGGGCGGCCAGGGCCCCAATCAGAAGGAAAAGCGCCACGGGCTGATCGCGAGGAACCAATCCGCTTCTAGAGCCCACTTGACTGACAGAGCTTCGCGCCAACGCCCGAGCACAGAGCGGGAGGCCACGAATCACAAGAGTGCGGAACCCCAGAGCACTAACCCGGAACCGGTTGGGGACTCGATTCCCATTGTGAGGCCAGACCTGGGGCGGGCCGTCGGCCAGAACGGCAATACCCTCTGGACCAATGGATGAGACGTCTCGCATGAGTGGCAGCCATATAACCCAATGGGTGGAGGCTTGAGGCGGGCGAAGTTGGTGGGCGGGGAATCAGGGAGGCATCTCCCCACCCCCCCGCCCCAGCCCCGTAAGAGGCGATCGGGTGGAGGTGCGGTCGGGGTCGCAGGTGAGCGGTTCTGCCCTGGATGAGCCGGCAGCGCCGCGGACGGTGGGTGCCCTAGAGGCGGGGAGGGTCCCGGCGGCAGGTGGCCGTCCCTGCGCTGCTGGCTTGGGCCCTGGGGGTGCGTCGTAGCGGGACCACGGCGCCGCGAGGACCACGAGTCCGCGCGGGGCGGGTGGAAGGGCTGTATCAGCCCCCGTCCGCGTCCCTCATCTGGGCTCCGACCTCCGCCCAGGCTGCCCATAGGTGCGGTGGCGGGGCCCGGCCACCTCCCCCAGGTGGCCTCCCGGGA